CATTATAACTAATTTATTTATAGTTACTATATACAAGTTTCAATTTTTATAACATGTGAATCCAATTTTAGATTATTTTTACTTACTGTGACGTAAATGATGATCAACTTCAATTCACGAAATTTATTTAAACAACTGCTGTCCAAAAAACAATCAATTGATATATTGAAATTGAAATTGAAATTGAAATTCATTGCAATGAAACGAAATTTCAATTATGTTTATATATATTTTATATAAAAACGGACCCTGTTTTGCCATATTTGCTAACCAAATTAGGACCTACTTCCTTCCTTTTTTGGAATACAACTTATTATTACAACGGCCAATCACAATAAACAACACTATGAAATTTAGATCATCTGATTGCTAACAACTTTGTATCGTGATCTGTATATATTGATAATAAGTTATGATTGGGTACAGTACGGTTTAGCTGACCGCACAGTACATTTAATTATCATTTAGCCACATAGGTTCATATTAAACATTTATTTTATGCAGATATACAATAATCCATATATGATCATACGATAATTTAATAAAAAAATAAAACAATCACTTAAAATAAACTTATTTATACATTTATATAAACTTTTTAAACTTTTACATATAATTTTTTTTTAATACACAAGCTTTTTTAACTCACAATATGAATATAATTATTGTATGTGATATACTTAACAATAGGATAAAATGGCTGCGCCATTTTATCCTATTATCAAGTATACCCCTTGCTATATATTACATTATATTAATAAATAATAAATTAAATGATAATAAATTACATAAAACATAAAATCGTATAGAAAAAATCTTAGATGATCATTATTTTGTATCTTTATTTGTACATTTTAGCTTGAATGAAATAGTAATGATACTTAAAGTTCAAAATTCGTAGAAAGGAATATTATTCTACAGCATATGTTTTTGGTTTTAAAAAGATAATAATATTTTTATCATTTTCCGTTAAAACAAAATCTTATGTCTAATTGAAACTGAATTCAAGATTCATTTTTAAATCATGATTGATCTGATTAATATCATAGAATATAAAGAATTTTATAAAACCGCTACATGATCATTTAATTACGTACAGTACATTGTCATTAATTAGCGTGAAAACTGGAATAAATTATGGTTATCATGTAAACTTTGAATGTATGAATTTTTCCAATCGAGCAAGATTCTGGTTCACATAATACGTACTGGTCAATTCTATTTTAATTCAAAAAATTTTTAACGAAAATGTCTCGTTTTAATTCAAGTCCAAGCTTAAATCCTCAAAATATATTATCCCTATAAAAAAATTGGATACGTTTTTTATAAAGTTTTTATACGATTTTTTTCCTGTATCATAATAGGATACGGAAAAATGCACAATTCCGTATCACTAAAAATATGGTTTGGATACGGAATTTGCACGGAATTAATATGGAAATTACATGATTTGATCACTGATTTTATCACGAAATTTATACGATTTGGTCACTGAATTTACTATTTGTATTACAGTTACTATAATTATATTTACATAAATCTTTATTAAATTAAATAAAAAATAAAAAATAAACAAAATACAAATACATTATGAAAATTCCCTCCTTATTAAAACCACCTATTGCAACCAAAATTATCTATAAGTTCAGGTTCATTCAGAGTCCAACAACCTAAAAAAACAAAAAAAGAAACATAAGAACGTCTAACTTAATTGGAAACAAAACCCCCCTTCATATAGTATCTGCAATCGTCCAAGTCATCAAAGGTCAGCATTCCTACAAAAAAAGAAAGAGAACTCCAGAATGTCTGACC